GCCACCACTATAGTAAGTACCCGTCCCTCCCCTCCCCTCCCCCCCTCCCCCCCCCCCTCCGCCCCCCTCCTCACCCACACGTACTGTTGTACTGCACACCATGCTTGAACCTCCGCTGCAGTTCAGGGGTTAGCTGCTCCACGTCCCTGTCGAGCACAGTGCTCTGTTCCTGGCCCATACTCTCCACAACTCGGTCTCGGTCTCGGTCTCGAGCTTGGTCGCCTGTCTCTTCTTCTTTGCCCCTCTCTGTCTCTTCTCTCTCTCACGCACTCTCTCGCGGCCGCCGGCGACAAGTGGCCGGTCGACACGGTCTCGTGTGTCTCCGACGAGCAGCTGCGATACCCCATCACATTGGACTCAGCCATCGGGAGGTTGATCATCTTTTCATTGTCAGGCTCGACATCGACTTCAGAGGAACGGGCTGCTATCAGCTCTGAAGAGCAGCGCAGGCGACAAGCGCCATGTGCGGGGTAGCCATGACAGAGAGGAGAACAAAGACTCCACGGGTTGCACCTGACACGCCATGCACGAGCGACGTTCCGCCGGCCTGCCACGCCACAAACGCCCCCGCAACGATCGCGGCGACCACACACGCGCCGAGACTTGACCGCGACAATATCGCCGGCGCGAGTTGCGTCTGGACACGCACCACGTGCCGGAGCGCATGGAAGCCGTTAAAGTACACCATGAACCCGACAAGTGGAGGCGTCGTCCCAAACAGCACGTTGAGCATAACAAGGTCCGCGAGGCCCACCGCAGCCGCCCTCGTCTCCAGCCGCTGAACATGCCGCGCCGCGCTGCCCACCACCGCCACGAAATGCGCCCATCGCAACAGTGAGAGCAGCGTCATCAGCATCCCAAGTTCTTGTCCATCCACCAGGTCGGCAAACACAGCCGCCACCTGCGCCCGATGCGTCGTGGTTGCCACCAGAAACGCTCCGCCGCGCGCAAACACCTCAATCGCATGAATGAGCCACGTTGCATCGCACATGCTGCCTACAGGGGCGTCACCTTCACCGAAATGCGCGATCGAGAGCGCGAGAAATAGGCTGAGCGCTGCCACAGGCGCTGCCTCCCACACAGCATACATTGCACCCATCAGCACCACATATACGGCCCAGCTGGCAGCCATGCCACCGGCACGCCGAGTAAAGCTCGCCCCAGACAGCACCAGGAGCGGGTCCAGTGCGCCATGCGGGAGCCCGATGGCGCAAGTCGTCACCACCAGCGCAGCCGCTTGCGACTCGAGCGAGATCTCCGCCCCGCAAACCCACAACGCAAGCACCACAGTCGCTGCAATGCCGTGTGAAAACGCTGCCAGCATGGTCTCACTGCTCACATTCGTCGGCGGCATGAGCATCTCGAGCACCACTGCGGTAAGCGCTACGCCACGCGCCTCGGCCCGTCGGCATGCGTCCACTGCTAGTGTGAGCCCCCAAGCACACATAGTCGATGTCACCACGAAAAACAGCGCCTCTTCGACAGGCAGATCCTGTGCCAGCTCGCCGATCGACGCCTCGGGCGCAATGCGCCACAGCCCATGCGAGATCGACCACATGTCGATCACACACAGTGCACTCGCTGACGTCGCCACTGTCGGCAGCCACACCCGCCACTCATGCAGCAGCACTCCTGCGCCAGCCGCCCACTGCAGCGCTAGCACCGGCAACGCCCACACTGCGATGAGTCCCAGGTACTCGGTCCCGCGGCCGCTCGCCGCACGCGCACCAGCCAGCCACGCGCCGGCCAGTACTCCCAGCCCCAGCCGCCGCCGGCGCGTAACCGCCTCTCCACTCCACCGCTGTTCGCCACGGTCATCGCTCTGGCTCGCCATCACCACCCAAACGCCGCCCACCAGCAGCGTTTCCAGCACAAAGAATGCGTACTCTTCGACCGGCACCCAGCCGACCACCCCGACAACAGCTGCAGCGCCACCGTAGCCCCACACCTGCCGATACACGAGGTAATTGTCCCACGGCGTCGTGTACACAAACGCCACCAGCGCCAGAGCTGCACTCCACATCCCGCCTGCGGCCAAGAGTCTTGTCGGCGCCCGGCGCACCGCCACAGCCCACACCCCACACACAAGCGGAATCGTGACCACGGCGTGGAGCCCGGCGTAGGAGACCATGCTCGGCAGCATCCACCTCTCCGACTCGCTCAACGCGGCCGCCAAAAAGGCAACGCCAGCCAGAGGCTCGGCAAGAGCCACAGCACAACAAAGCACCGCGGCGTAAGTCTTGGCCAGCGTTATCCGCAGCAGTGGTAGGAGCGGTACCATTCGAGCTGCAAGCTCCAGCTTGCGACGTCCAGACACAACCACACGCCCGCTAAACACGTTGTACTCGGCGCTTCGAATCGCAGGGTGTAACTCCGAGTACATTGCTCGCGCGAGTGCCACCACCGGCCTCACATCGCCTGGCAGCATGGCAATTCCGACGTCTGCTGACGCGTAGCAAGCCTCGGCCTTGGCCATCACCGTCTCGATCGTTCCGCGCCACCCGGGCGCGTCGGGTGCGCGTGCCGCAAGCGTCACCCCATGTGCCCGGCACTCTTCCCGCGGCACATATTCGCGCCCGAGCTCCAGGTCCTCGCCGATGTCGCGGATCATGTTTGTCAGCTGAAAGCCATACCCAAGATCGCGGGCATGGGCCAGTGCCTTGGCTCGCGCTCTCTTTGCCTTCTCGTCGTCACCCGGGATGAGTAGTGGGAGCATAAAGTCGCCGATGACAGCCGCCGAGCCGCGCATGTACTCCCACGTCTCGTCCCACGTCTCGCACACCTTGGTCTCCACGTCCATGCTCATTGACGCGAAAAAGGTGGCAAACAAATTCGCCGAGTATCCGCGTCGGCGAACCGTCTCAATCACCGCTGGAAGCACGGGATGCTCGTGATACTCGCCTGCGCCCGCCTCAAGCCCGGCCCAGAACGCGGCCATAAACTTGCCCAGCGCAGCCCGCTTGGCCTCGGCGCTCGCACCCACAACATCGACACAGTCGTCGGCAACCCGGAACAGGGCGTACATGGCAGCCGTATCCACAAACCGCACCGGATCAAAAAGCGTCGACGCCAAAAAGTACGTCCGCCCGTGTCGGTAAAACAGCGAGATGCAGTGCGCGTACGACGCAACACGTGTGGAGAGCAAGACCGCTGCAAGCACGGCCGCATGCAGCACTACTGCTCCGCACGCCACCCACTTGGCGCCAACCAGCATGAAATTCACAAGCTCGGTGCTATGTGAGTGTGAGGAAAGCTGTTCGTCGAGCACGCCTGCCGCGACGATGCCGGAAATCATCGACGGCGGCACGCCCGGCCCAGGATTGGTCATGTGCCCGGCAAACACCATGTTGCGTGCGCCACTTGTCATCGACGGCTTGAAGACCAGCGACTGCGAGAGGATGTTGGCGAGGCCAAAGGCGTTGCCGCGGAGCGCATGAAAATCGAGCTCAAACTCGCTAGTCCCGTACGACGCATTGTAGGCAAGCACACTCCGGATAGAAGCGCCCGATGCCAGAGGCGTCCGGGCATCCATGCGATCCAGCACCTGCTCGAGGACTGCCGCTCGTAACGCCGGCGTGTCGGTCCCGTTGAGAGCGTATGCCATCGGCACAAGAACAAAGAGCGCGTCGCCGCCGGGAGGCGCAGTCGCGCCCTCCGGAGCCGTCCGCGCCGCCGCTGTCACGTAGAACGTTGGCGCCGCCGCATGCTGGCCAAAGTCAAACACTTGGCTCAGGTGCTCGTCGAGGCCAGTGTCAAAGAAGAACGTGTGGTGGCCGAGCCCCGGCAGAGCCTCCTCGAGACCCAGGAAGAAGAGCATGCACGATGGCGAGAGCTGCCGCCGTGCCCAGTACCGCGATGTGTATCGCCGGAGATGCTGCGGGAGAAGCTCTTGCTCAACATAGTGGTAGTCGGCGGCCGCAAGAACGCCGTCGACGCTGACGCACTGCTGTGGAGTACACACCGACGAAATGTGCGATTCGGTGGCACTAAGCTTGATCACAGGCTCGTTAGTGCGAATCACCACACCGGCGGCCGTAGCAGCGTTCGCCAGCTCGCGCGCCGGCGCAGAGAGTCCACCCGCAGGGTACCATGTTCCGCGGGCATGCCCCGCGTAGGTCATGAGCGAGTACAGCGCCGGGGCGTCGCGTGGAGACGCGCCAATGAAAATCGCCGGCCACTTGAGCAGCATGCGAAGAAGTGGCGAGGCCGTGTGTGCTGCCACATGCGACTCAAAAGAGCCAAGCATGTCCGACGTAAGCGCCGCCGCCGCCAGTCCCGGATCGATCAGTTCGGTCCAGGAGATCATCGGCTTCCACAGCCACTCGTCCACGGCAGCCTTGTACTTGATACTAGCCTCATCAAAGAGTGCGCGTAGAGTGTGGCCCGGATCAAGTTCATCCGCCAGGTCTAGCAGCTGCGGGAGCGAGCCCGGGACCTGGACGGTGGCCTCGTTCGGCAGCACAACAGTGTACGCCGGATCGAGGCGAGTCATCGCCAGCTGAGAAACCAGGCCATATCGATCCAGTACGGCATCATACAGCTCAGGCATCCACCACCATGATGGCCCGGCATCAAAGACAAACCGGCCATCGGGCGAGGTGACGACCTGGGCTCTCCCGCCGACCTGGGCTAGCTTCTCGAACACCGTCACGTTGTAGCCTCGTTGAGCCAGTTCCAGCGCCGCCGAGAGCCCAGCATACCCGGCACCGATCACAACCACATGTTGACGCGCATCATCGCTTCCAGCACCCCGCCGCCCGTCATTGCCATGCAGACCGCTCGCAGTGCCCCCAGCTGAAGCCATGACCACCGACAGGAGAAGGATCAATGCGACGCACCGAACGTCAGCTCTTGTCAGACACGCCTGCCACGGAGCCGGGTGTTGCCGCCATGGACGTGGGAGGCCATGCATGCCAGTCCCAGAGGGGGGTGGGGGCATGTGTGAAGAGGCGGAGTGGGGAGATGAGTGGCGTGACGGCTCGTCGGTGTAGGTGCGGGAGGGAGCGTGGTCCCGGCAGTGGGCGGGGGATCGCGACTCTGGCTGTGTCAGCTGAGATAGGGCCATCACAGTGACATGGCCCCATCTCGGCTGACACAGCCAGAGCAAGGGCTTGGCTGAGATGGGCTAGGATTTATCGAGGAGGATGGTGGTTGATGGGCGATGGTGGCACAGGGCGTGACAACAAACAGCTGTGCAGCTAGACATCATAGGTGATTTCCTCGACCTCGTTCTGGGCCTCGGCGAGGATCGAGTAGGCGAGATGGTCAAAGCCCTTGGCCCAGTTGGAGCCGGTCTTGCGCTTGAGCTTGTCGCGGCGGAAGGCACGGACGGAGGGCGACTTGGAGTGGGAGAGGACCTCGAGCAGGTTAGCCTTGAGGTAGTCCCAGTCCGAGGTGGCCTCCTGCAGGTCGGCGAGGGTGACGTCGTGGCCACGTGCGCGCATGACGGCGATGAACTTACGGGCCTCGATGGTGGAGCGGAGGTGGACGAGCGAGACGGTCTTGAGGATCTTGGGATGGAAGTGAGAGAGGTAGACGAGGAAGGCCTCCATGACGTAGTTCTTCTCAAACGGCTTGGTCAGGTGAGCGCCGTTGTGGTAAACGGGATGGAAGGACCAGGTGTACTCCTTGAGCGAGAGCTTGTTGCCCTTGTCAAACTTGGCGACGCCGCCCATGGCGAGCGACTGGTCAACGTAGTTGGGGGCGGAGAAGACGGTGATAACGGCCGGGATGCCAAACGGGCCGGGCTTGGAGACTGAGTAGCCGGGCTTCTGCTGGTGGCCGCGGATGATGCCGCGGATGTTGTTGCGGGCGAGGAAGGCCTTGGTGGCGGCGAGCGAGAAGGTGTAGATGTTGCGGCCACGCTTGGACTTTGCCCAATCGCGCTTGGAGCTTCCGCCCGAGGCCGAGTCAGAAGCGTCGTCGTCGACGACCTTGTCGAGGCGCCACTTTGCGTCCGAGCCCTTGGGTGGGCCTCGTCGTCGTCGCTAAAGTCGTGGTCGGGCGCCGGATCGTTCCACATGATCTCCTTGAGCTTGCCCTTAGCAATGCGCTCGTCCTCGGGTGTGCGGTCAAAGGTGGCGAGCTTGGAGACCTTGGGGAAGGCCTTGGCAATGCCACCGTGGCAGCAGAAGAACTTGTGGCCCGATCCAGGCGTCGACTCGAGAAGGGCGCACGGCGACATGGACTGGTACATGTTGATGAGCGAGTCGAGCATCTTCTGCGAGAGCTTCCGGGTGATCTCCGATCCGGAGCCGGAGGCCTTTGCGGCCTGCGACGCCGACTCGTGGTTCCCGCGGAGCATGAAGACCTTGTCCGGGTAGCGGAGGACGGCGGCGAGGAGGAAGAGCACGGTCTCGGTCGAAAAGTAGCCGCGGTCGACGTAGTCGCCGAGGAAGAGGTATTTGCGGTCGCCGAGAGCGCCGCCAGCCTCAAAGATGTTGCGGAGGTCAAAGAACTGACCGTGGATGTCACCGACGACGGTGATCGGGCCCGCGACCTCGATCATGGTCGGCTGGGCCTGAAAGTGGCGGGTCGCCTTCTTGACCAGCTTTTTGGCAAACGAGTCCGAGATGGCACCCTCGTGCTCAAAGTGCTTAAAGATGACGTCGAGGTCCAGCTCGCCATCGGCGCCGACAGCGTCGCCCCACGAGAGCTTGTTGGTCCGCGGGTGGTAGAGGACATGGACTTGGGTCTCGTTCGCCTCCATGCCGAGCTCGCCGCACGTGGTCCCGTCCTTGGCCTCGAGCTCAAAGCCGTTGTGGAAGAGGCGGACGTTGGCGACGGGCTCGGCGGCAGCCTTGGCCACAGCCTTGTGCAGCTCCTTGACGGTGAGCGCCGGCTGGAACTCGATGTCGTACGTCTTGCCGAGGAAGAACTCATGAGCGGCAATGGTGGGCACACCGCCGGCGCGCTGGCCGGCTCGGCGCTTGGGGCCACCGCGGCGCTTGCGGCTCTTGGGCGCGTTGTCCGAGACGGTGTCCGAACCGGAGCCCGAGCCCGAGAGGTCAGAGAGCTCGTCGATGGTGCCCTCGTGGCCAAGCGCACGCGCGAAAGCCTCCAGCGAGAGCTCCTTGCGCTCCTCGGATTCAAGGACTGAAATGAGCTTCTTGCGTGCGCTGCGGTCGGCCGACGCCGCCACCTGCTGGGTGTAGAGCGGGTTGACGCCGTGGAGCGTGCGGAGGTTGGCCTCGTCGATCATGCCAATTGACGATCCCGAGGACTTGGCGTACTTGGCCCGTCCCGCCTTGCTCATCAGCTTGCCCAGCGCCTTTTCGGTGAGCAGGCCGCTGCCACCGGTGGCGTAGCGGTAGACCTCCCAGATCAGCCGGTAGTTGTCGGCCTGAGCCTCGGACATGATCTTGCAAAACTCAAAGAACGAGATCTGGCCATCGTCGTCAACGTCGGCCTCGGCCATCAGCTCGTCGACATCGGCCACGTCGTCGTCGGTCGAAATCGCCGCCGCCAGCGCACCCAGCTCGTCGGCCGTGATGTAGCCCGAGCCGTCGGCGTCGAGCTCATCAAACTTGACCCGGAAGGTGGCAATCTGCTCCTGCGTCAGCCCAAGGCCCATCACTGCCGAGTCTGAGCACGAGCCCGAGCCCGAGCCCGAACCGTAGCCCGAGCTCGAGTCCGATCCCGATGCTGAGCCGCAAGAAGCCGACGAGGAGGCTGAGGCCGAGGCCGAAGCAGCCGACGACGACGACGAGGAGGAGGAAGAAGAAGACGAGGACGAAGAAGAAGAAGATGAAGACGTCATGCTGAGCACTGTTTCTGAAGGTGACGACAGAGAAAAGTGTGCGAGTCTGGTACCGAGAAGAGGAGGAGGAGAAGGGCTCGCCTTGCAGTGGCTACGGTTGGAAACGGCGTGGGTTGCCACCCCATCCCCCCCCCCCCATCCCCTTCCGCCCGCCCGCCTGTCGCATCAGCTTTTCGTTCGGACTCCAAGAGATGGTTGGTTGCTGAGCTGCAGTGGTGGGAAAGGCGCAGCATGATGATGGGAAGGTTGGTGGGATGGAGGTTGGGATAAAGTAGTTGGGACGATGTGGGAATGAGGATGGGGTGCGGGTCATTACATACAGTGGTTCTCGTGGTCGTGGTCGTTCTCGTGGCCGTGGTCGTTCTCGTGGTCGTGGTCGCTGTCCTTCATCCGCCTCACCGAGCCGACTATGGCCGAAATCAATGGCTCGGTGGCCGAACGCCGAAAGGGCTGGGCCAAACGCATCAACTTTGGGATGAGACCCACCATTGCAGGCGCAAGGTGTAGCCTCCCGGAGCTGTTTGACATCAACTGTGTCGCCTATACTGCCTGCACATCCAAAACTGCAGTGATCCACAACCGAAAGTATATGTTGGCCTTGTGCCATGGTCTGATTGGTGTTGACGACTGATTTGAATGCGCTATGCCGTGTATGGCCGGTGGGGGTGCCCCGGCGAGTCGCGGAACACCGCGCAGCGGGGGGGGGACGGCGACTGATTGGAGGCTCGACAGCGGAAGTAGACGGCGCACCAGTTGTCGCAGGCGAACAAGCCGACGGCAGCTGGGACAGAGACAAAGCATGAGCAAGAAAAAGAGCAAGAGCAAGAGCAAGGGCAAGGGCAGCCGGAGCAAGAAGTCCCGCAAGCGCTCACTGCCGCCCGTGCCTGTGGCAGACACAGCCTCGGCCTCAGCCTCGGCCTCGGCCTCGGCACCAGCACCGGCACCGGCACCAGCACCAGCATCGGCATCGGCATCGGCGTCGGCATCGGCGTCAGGTGCAGCGCATGAGGAGAGTGATGGCTCCAGAGACGACGGCAGCAGACGGGAGGAGGATGGCCGTGACGACGGCGGTGACGGAGACACTGGCGATGATGTTGGCGAGAACAATGGCGATGAGGGGAGCACTGGCGAGGACACTGGCGAGAACGATGGCGACGAGGACGACGATGACGATGACGATGGTGGCAATGACCAAGGTGAGAACGAGGCGAAAGCCGAGGCTGGGTCGTCAGAGCCGTCGTCGGACAAGTCCGGCAGGTCCGGCGACAAGCAATCGTCGGACAAGTCAGTGGACGAGTCGTCGGACAAGCCTTCGTCGGAAACAAGCAAGTCAATGGTTGGTCAGGTTGCGCTGCAGTCAAAGCGACTGCCGACGCTGAGCAAGATGATTCGGCGGGGAACGGCGGTGAGCAAGATCCTGGCCTACGCCGCCGAGCACAAGGGTGCGCTGGTGGAGAAGGACTCGGCCGGATACCTCCCCATTCACCACGCGGTGGTCCGCGGCAATGCCGAGATTGTCCAGGCTGCGCTGTTGCCGGCGACACTCAACGCGCGGTCGCGCGCAGGCGAGACCCCGATCCTGCTGGCGGCCAAGTTTGAGAAGCTAGACGTGGCGTACGCGCTGCTCGAGTTTGTGGTGCCGGCCGAGGCGTCGGCGGCGCCGGCAGGGCTCGGCGATGAGATTTCGGTATCGGCTGTCCGGTTTGCCGGCGACGACGGCACCGAGGCCGACGAGACGCCGCGAGCTGGGCGGGCGTCGCTGCGAGCGTCGCTGCGGTCGGCACCGCGGTTTGCACATCTGCGGCTGGATGTGCGGACGCCCGAGCGGCGCGGGTTCAAGAACACCCCACTCCACTATGCGGCGCACAACGGGTTGCTTTACGTGGCCAAGGGCCTCGTTGAGGGTGGCGCCCTTGTCGACGCCTTTGCACGCGACAACACAACTCCGCTGCAGCTGGCGGCAAGCCGTGGCTCGATGGCGCTTGTCCAGCTGCTCATCGGCGCCGGCGCCGACGTCAACTACTACAACGCCAGCGGCTCTGCACTCGAGTGTGCCATCAAGGCCCGCCATCTCGACGTAGCCGCGTTTCTGCTCGAGAATGGTGCTCTACTGCGGTCACGATCGTCGCGCATGCTTCGAACGCGCGATAAGGAAGGCAGCACTCTGCTGCACGTTGCCGCCGGTGCCAACTACGTCCGCGCAGTCTCGGCGCTCCTCGAGGCTGGGGCTGATCCCGAGATTACGGTCCACACCGCACGGTCGACGCCACTCCATGCCGCCGCCCGCGCAGGTCACAACCTTGTCGTGGCGCTGCTGGTCAACACGGGGACCACGGTCGGGCTGCTCAAGTCTGCACTCAACACGCCTGACGCGTCGGGCCGGACGCCGATGGACTACGCGTGCGAACGCGGTTACTCGCGGGCTGTCCGGGTTTTCCGCAAACTTGGAGCAGTCGTCACTGTTGCCCACATCAACGCGGCGTGCGAGGGTGGCCAGACCGAGCTTGTCGGCTCGCTCCTCACCCATGTCAAGGACTTTCACGTCGAGTCGCGGCACTCGGGCTTTCTCATGGTGCTGGCCAAGGCACTGCCTTCGGCGAAGCGGCTGCGAAAGCTGACGCTGGTGGCGTGCGACATGGGTGACGCAGGTGCGCTGCTCATCGAGTCGCTCTCGGGCCTCCGTCGGTTCCACACGCTGGTGCTGGAGCGGACGACGCTCGCTGACCTGGCGCCCACCTCCGGCTTTGTGCCGTCGCTCGCACGCTGGCTGGACTACCGAGTTCCAGCGCCGGCTGCCCTGCGGACGCTGCATCTGCTTGCGTGCGGACTCAACGCACAACAGGGCAAGGCGCTTGCTGCTGCGCTGCGCAACAACGCAACTCTGGAGGAGTTGCGTCTCGATGGCAACAATCTCACGACGCTGGACTCGGTCCGCTCGCTCATGGCAGCCTTTCGCAACCACCCGCACCTCAAGAGCGCATCACTCAAGCGGGTCTTTGGCGCAGGTCGGTACTGCGAGCTTCTCTCGGTCTATCTCGCGTACCTGGTCTTTGGTCTCTTTGTCATGATCTCCGGCATTCTCCTCGCCGCGCAAGAGTACGCGTCGGCGTCTCGCGAGTACCATGGCTCATCCATTGCGTGCCGCCCGTGCTATGGTTCGTACGCCAAGCGGCGCGCCCGCCGCGCCCGCCGCGCTGCTCGGTGGGCTGCCGCTCTCCAGCCTGATGGCGACTCGGCCTCGGCGTCCTCCTCGCAGCGAGACTCGTGTGATGATGACGACTCGGACTTTGTCGATCTCGGCTCGTACTCGGACTCGGAGTCTGAGGAGCAAGAGGAAGAGGCAAGGCGAAGCAGCAAATCGAGCCGCAAGAACAAGCGCACGCGGGCGAGCAAGAGCAAGAAGAGCAGAAAGAGCAGAAAGAGCAACAAGGGCAAGAGCAATAAGGGCAAAGCCACCGTCTCGAGCTCGCTCTCATTGACGCCATCGGATGCATCACGGGCTGTGTCGGCGTCATCCACTACACCCGTTTCTAGCGACTCTGTCGACATGAGCGCCAGCGGGGCGATGCGAAAGCGGTCCACCAAGGGCAAGCGGTCCACCAAGGGCAAGCGGTCCACCAAGGGCAAGCGGTCCACCAAGGGCAAGCGCACTGCCAAGGGCAAACGCACTACCAAGGGTAAGCGCACTACCAAGGGCAAGCGGTCCACCAAGGGCAAACGCTCGATCAAAACGGAAGCCACCGACGGTCTCGCAACATGGGGCAAGGTCAAGTCGTCGTCATCGTCCGGGTCGTCGGTGACGTACTCGGACTCGGGCCTGCGGAGGAAGCACGGCTTTGACATTGCGTCGGCAGCCAAGCGGTCTGAAGCGACACTGCTGCCGTCGCTCATGTGCTGCGATCCGTGCACCGGCCGGCTGGCCGACCACCCGTCGAACGCGTCGTCGTCCGAGGCTGATGCCGACAGGCTGAACACTGCCCGCCGTGGCCCGACCGGCTTTGGCATCGACTTTAGTCGGGCGATGGCGGCGCCGATGGTGACCAAGCTCGGCACCCAGATGTCTGCACACCTCGGCACCTTTGCGCTCCTCCTCTTTCCGTGGATCTTCCCGTTCTGGATCATGCGCGCGGTTGCGCCGTCGTCGTGGGAGCAGGTGGCCGGCCTGGGCACCGGCGTCTTCCTCGGCGCCCTCCTCTGCTGGATGGTGCTTGTCTTTGTCCTCGCCCGGGCCGACAAGTTTGGTACCTTTACCTCGATCAACAACCCACCCACCCGGGTCAGGCCCAACTTTCGCAACGCCTGCGCTTTGTTCTTCATCGTTGTCGAGTTTGCCCAGCTGACCTCACTCTCGCTCATTCCGGCGGTCGAGGTCTACCCATCCGAGTCGTCTGTAGACACCATTTTCAACCCGTTTGTGCTCGACCTCGGCGGCTCGCGATTTCTGCTCGCCTACTGGCTCTCGGCCACCATTGCGCTGCTTTGGTGGCTGCTGGCGTCATACCTGGCGGTCAACGCACTCTCCGCCAATCTTGCGGGTGCGCTGTCGTCGATCGTGTGGTGCGAGGACATCTCGCGGTTCCTCGCCCACACTCTCTTTCTTGCGGTCACGGTCAACATGTTCCGCATGTTCAAATGCGATTACTCGAATGTCGGCAGCCCATTCCTTGCGGCTGACCCCTCGCTCGAGTGCTGGGGCACAGGTCACTCGCTCTACGTTGCGTTCACCATGACCATCCTCATGGTCTACGTCTTTTCTTCAGCCTTTATCGGCCTCTCGTTTACCGTCGACTACTCGGGCGAGACCGATGCCCAGTTTGTGGCGCTCTACACGCTCGGCGAGCGCATTGTCAAGCTCGTCGCGTCGGTCGGCGTCGTTGTCCTCACCGAGTCCAAGGCCATCGGCTTGGTCGTCCTTGCACTTGGCATTGCGCTCCTCGCCGCCGTTACCCACCGCTACCAGCCATGCCCGATTCGCTGGGTCAACACCTACAAGGTCATCTTTTACGCCCTCTCGTTCTGGTCTGTCGCGGTCGCTGCCCTCGGCGTCGCACTCGACGCCCACCAATCCTGGGCCCTCTTCATCGTTCTCCTCATCGGGTGGGGCCTGGTCCTGCTGGTTGCTGGCGGCGTTGGCCCCGTCATCGTCTCAATCTGTCGCCGGCAGGCCATCACCGACGACTCGGACGGTGACGTCCGCCGGCCGAGCCGCCGCAACGACGACGACGCCTACGAGTACACCTACGAGAGCTACGCCAGTGTGTAATGACTGCCGGGCGCCACCGAATGGACCGTAAACGCCACGTCGCCATCAAACGCGCGCTGTCGCGGAAGCAGTAGTGTGTGCACCGCATAGCTGCCAGCATCCATACCTGCGTCAGGTCCTGGCGTGCACACGATGCGCCAAGGCTTGACCAGCGCGCGCGGCCCATCGTCACCCAGGTCGGCCACATCGAGCGTCTCGATGCCGAGACGTTCACCGGTGTGCGCAGACCAGACTGAAATCGACGGCTGAAGAGTACCACTGCCGCGCCCGCCATAGAGTCCAGTCAGCCCAAGCATGTGAGCGCCGTCGGGCGTGAACGAGTACCGCGCCCCTCAGCGGCAGCAGCGGCAAACTTGAAGAGCGGCGTCGACGAGCGAATATCCCACAGCGACGCGGTCGAAGGGCCGTGAGTCCCGAATCGGCCGGCACTCGCCGGTGTTGACAGACCCCATGGACCCCAGGGCGCCACAAACGGCGCAATACGGTGGGTGTGCGACCCGGATGCTCGCGGAAGCTCAAAGGTAATAGCAGGCGAGAGCGACGGCGCGCGAACGTCGTGGGCAGACAGAGCCTGTCCACCACCATCGCGCGAGGTGGCGCCAACAAGGAGCAGCTGTGCATGTGGCTCGTACGCAAGGCTCGCCACAACCCGGTGGGCGCGCGACGGAAGGCGCGCAACGCGCAAGATCCGTCCGGACTCTGCGTCGAGCGCAAAGACGTTGCGGTCAGATGCCGAGAGAAAGGCGCTCATCTCAGGCAGAGCGCCTGGCGATGAAACAAGGTCACGGCCAGGCAAGCACCGCATCGCGGCGTTGGCATGAAAGACGGTGATGGGAGTTTCGTGAGAGACAACAACGATGCCGGTGCGAACGACATCCTCGTCGGCGGTCACCCGCAGCACCACCGGCGCCGGCAGCGACGGGAGGACCGCCGTCGGCGCTTCGAGCATGGTCTCGCACTGCCAGGTCGCAGTCCGCGCCGACACAGCGCTGCTGCTCAAGACCATGCCAAATCGTTGCGGCGAGTACACAATGAGCGATGTCGGGAACGCGCCCGGCATGCGCGGTCCGGACACCATTGTGGGCGAGACCGCCACGGCCTCGCTGCTCCACACTACAGGCTCGTCCATGACGCACACGCTTGCGGTTGGACCCTGCAGCGGCGCAACACTCAGCAGCGACCGACGCAGCTTGGAAGATCGGGCAAGGCCGAGCGCTCGCTGTATCCGCCACGCCATGGCCGATGGTGGGCGTGGCAGCATCGCAGGCTCGGGCGAAGGGGGGGGCTCCCGTCGAGCCGGCGTCGGCGACGACGACGGGCCGGCGGACGAGGTGGCCCACGGCGGCGCCGATCCGGTCGACGGCAGCGCAAAGTACCGATCACGAACCGGATCGTAGACGAGGCCCGGGAGCACTGGCATGTCAGCCACTGCGCGACCGGCTGCGGCGGCCACGCTCGCCTGGGTCCGCTCCAGCACCGTCTGAGGAGGGAGTTCTGCCCGGGCAAACATCCGCGAATCCATCTCATCGTCGTCTGCATCGATTTCATCGTCATCTCTTCCGCGCTGCCAGTGCCGTCTCTGGTGGTGCGAGCCTTGACCACGGCCCCGTCCCCGTCTCTGGAATCCCCGTCCCCGTCCTCGTCCTCGTCGCCGTCCTCCTCGTCCGCCTCTGCGCCGTCGTTCCCGTCCCCGTCCCCGGCCCCGTCCCCGTCCCCGTCTCTGGTCGCGGTGTCCTCTGTGCGACTCGCCGCGTTCAGATTGGGGCATGGGAGTGGACGGGGTGGGGTGTGGAGGGTGTCGAGCGGTGGGGGGTGGCGGGGTGCGGTGTGCGGGTGGTGGTGGTGGCGGTGGTGGCTGTCGGTCATCTGGTTCGTGTCGAGTTGTGTCGCGTTGCGGTCGGCTGCGGCCGCATCCTGCTCCTGCCGTGACCCCCCCCGACACAGTGACCCGCTCTCGTTATACCCTAGTCAGAGCACCAGAGGAGACGCACCCTTTTCCCACGTTCCACACTGCCCACTCACTGTCAAGAAGGTAGCCGCGGCGGCAGTATGACAGCTTGGAGGATGCGAGGGAGGGTCTGTGGTGCCGGCCCGGTACATCGGTAATTTTTTTACGGGGTACAAGAAGTATGAGTGCAGAAGCGGTTCAAGCGGGGGATGAGCCGAGTTGGCGGGAGCAAAAGGCCGGGCAGGCGGGCGGGGTTGGAGTAGCTACAAGAGGCGGCAATGTGGCGGGGGAGAGACAACCTGACTCAATAGGGTGAGAGAGATGGAGTGCTGTACGCCAAGAGTGCTGGGAACTATCGGGGCGGTTCTGGCGCTGCTGCTTGCGTACAGGGTGACGCTCTCGCGGACGGGCCTGGTCTCGTCGCTGCTGCAGGATACGGCGCTGGGGGTGGTGAGCCGAGTCTGCTCGCACGCTACGCAAACCGAGGTCACCATCGATGACATCTACATCCATCCCACAGTGGGAGCCGCTGGACTACGTGGTGTAACAGTTGGCGTACCGGAGGGCTTTACAAAACATCCGGCATCCATGGGCAACGTCTCCATCGTCTTTGAGCCGGCCACCCTCGTCACCGGCTCGGTCATCCGTGTCCTCTCAGTTGTGGTCGATGCGCCGCAGATTGTGTTTGAGATGAACAAGCGAGGGAACTCGGTCCGAGCTGTGTATGATGCCATTCTGCAGTATTCGGCTGATCGCATGCGCCCGTTCATGGTCATCGAGGAGCTTGTCATCCGCCGCGGCCTTGTCACGCTCGTCGCATCTCCCGACATACTCGAGCTGGATCCGTCACTCCCGCGCGACGTTCGCCTTCCCCGCATCCACCTCTCTGACATTGGGGTGCCGTCGGGTCTGTCGTTCTCGGGCATATTTAAGCACGTAGCCGATCCGCTCATCATCAACATCCTCGCCACCGCCGAGGGCCTCATCGACCGCCATCGCGCCACTGCCGGCGCGCGCGCCGACTCGCCGCCGCCGTTCCCTCCGCCAGGCGCCATAAATGCAACTGTTGCCTGAACAGCTGCTCGATTTACCACAGAGGACGCTTACGTCGGCCTCCCCCGGCGCCGCCGGGTACGTAGGCAAACGACGACACCGTGCTGCCCCCGCCCGCTCCGCCAAAGATCGACGTTGTGCCGCCGCCGGCGACACTGCCCGAGCTGCCGCCGGTGGCAAAGATCGAGGTTGTCGGCGCAGCAGCCGGCGATGCCGAGGCAGCTCCGGTGCCGCCCCCGCCCGCTGAGCCGAAAAAGTTGGTCCGCCCGCGCCGGCCAACCGGTGGCGATGGCTTGTCGTTTGGCGCTGCGGCGAAAGCCGCCGGCTGGGCGGCTGGCGCTGGCGCCGGCGCAGATGCCGGCTGTGGCGTGACTGGTGGCCCAGCAGGTCGTGGGCTGGCACCGGTCCGTCCGCTGCTGCCTTGCAGCCAGACTGGGAGTGCCGCCGGCTTTGGCTCTGATGCCGCTGGCAGCGCTGTCACGGTGGTTGCCTCGAAGTTCTGCGGGCGTAGCGGCGGGCGCGATGCAGCGGCAGCCGGAGCCGGGACCGGAGTCGGAGTCGGAGCCGGAGCCGGGACTGGTGCTGCAGCAGGGGCCGGGGCAGGGGCAAGGGCAGGGGCTGCAGCGGGCGCGCGCACAGCATCTGCCGACCATCCCATGGCGGCGGCGGGCGAAGCCGTCGACGGAGGCTTGTTGACCACACTGCTGGCAAAGCCAAAGTTGGGCCGGGGCGCGGTGGTGGTCGAAGTCGACGGCCGCGACGCGCCGTTGCCAGCAGTGGCGCTGCTCTCGTTCGCGTTGACCACAGTGGCCTTGGGGAACGAGAAGAGTGACGACCGCACCTTGGTTGCGGTCGGCGGCCGAGCGGGCGGCGTTGGCTCGGTGGCCTGTGCAGGACTGGGTTCAGACGTGGGTGCCGGTGCAGCCGGTATAGCGACGGCAGCAGCGGGCGCAGGCGCAGGTGCGGATGCAGGCGCAGGCGGGGGCTCGGACGATTTCATGGCAGCCACGTCTGGAAGCTCGGCAATCTTGGTCGACGGCGGGTTTCGAGCAGGCCCCGAAGCGTCGAACGAAAAGGTCTTGAACACGCCCGATGACGAAGTCGAGGGCAGGCTCGATTCACGAGCAGGCGGCGTAGGATCGATGGCAGGCTTGGGCGCTGGCGAGCCCGGCAGCGGACTTGCGCTTGGGCTCGGACTCGGCTTGGGGCTGGGGCTTTGCTTGGGGCTGGGACTCGGCTTGGAGCGCGGGCTCGTGGCGGCGGCAGCATCACGTGGCAGTGCCGGGCGCGGTGGCGAGCTCCGCCGCTTTGGCGAAGTCCGAGTACGGGCCGAGGCCGGTGAAGCGGGTGATCGCGAGGCAGCCTGCGACCGCGCGCGTGTCCGCGACGGCGACTCGGGCGAGGAGTGCGGCTCGAGGGAAGAGAGCACGCCGCTGGGCCGCGGCGATGCCGGATCTGCGTGTTCAGGAGAGCGGGCGACGCGGGAGCGCGGGACCGAGGCCTGCAGCATGAGCAGCTGTTCCATGTGCTTCTTGTCCTGGTTCTCGAGCTCGCCGAGTCTGTCGCGCGCCGACTGGAGCTCAGTGAGGGCAATCTTGAGCTTCTTGCGGTACTTGCGCTCGGTGTGGGCGTGGGTGTTGTTCAGGTTCGCAATGTGGCGGTGGAGGTCGGCGATGGTGGCATCTTTGGTGCGGACCTCGGCCTCGATTTTCTCCAGCTCCTTGGCAAGCTCATGGCGCTCGCCGAGCTCCTTGGCCTTGAGAATGGTCATGAGCTTGTCGCACCGGTCCATGTACTTGTTGAGCCGTTCGTCCTTGACCCGGGCAATCCGCTCTACCTTGACCATCCGCTCCTTGTACCGCTTGTTCTTCTCCTTGAGCACACGAACCTCTTCCGAGTACCGTCGCATGATCTTTGGGATGTCGCCCGACTGGCGCTCCATGTCGCGGAGGCCACGCTCGGTCTGTTTCTGCATCCGGGCCAGTGTCTTGTTCTCCTCCACCAGTCGCGCAATGGCATCATCTTTCTCGCGCATTTGGTTTTCCAGCTCGTGGACCTCGGCCTGGTGCTGCTCAAACAGCGAGAGTGTGACCGGATCCGCGGCCCGCGGCGGAATGCGCGGCCGCCGCTTCGGCCCACGCGACATGTGTGAGACCCGCGACCGTGCCGACCGCGCCGATCGCGCCGACCGTGCCGACGAGGCAGACGCCGCAGACCGTGCCGACGCCGCAGACCGTGCCGACGACGCAGACCCGATCCGCCGCCGCGACGGCACCACGCCCGCGCCACCCACGTACCGACTCCGCACCGCGGCCGTCGTCGCCTCATCCACGTCGTCATCCCACGCAAAGTGCGCCGCACCGCCTGGTCCCCGCGGCGTTGTAAATCCGCCACGTGAGCTCGCCCGCGAACTCGCCCGCGAACTCGCCCGCGAACTCGCTCGCGAGCCGATCGACCGGTGCGAGCTCGGCGGACGCGGCGTCACATCCGCCATCACATCCAGTTCTGGCAAAGGCTCTGGTTGCGGAGCAGGCGATGCCCCCGGCGTGCTTGTCCGCGATCCAACTCCCTCCCCACCACCGGTCGCGCCCGGTGAAGCCAAGCCGCGTCCTGAGCCGAGCGGTGAGCCGCGCCCCGAGCCAAGCGGCGAGCCGAGCGGCGAGGCAGACGCATGTGGTGAGCCGGCGGCGTATGTCAAAGACGTCCTAGACGAAGGAGTCCGAGCGAGAACGTGAGAGGCAGCATAGCCGCCCGGAGACGAGGCGCGTGAGTCGGACAGGTTCTCCAGCTCGTCGTCGAGGTCAATGTCAAAGTCGTCCGAGTCAAAGTCCGACTCGTAGGCCATGTTTGAAGGAGGTGGAGTGGAGGAGGAGGGGGAGAAGGGGCGGGGAGGGGGGAGGGGAGGGGAGGACGTGGAGTGTGGCGCGCTCTGTCTCCCGGTCGGTCGCCCAAGGACCGAAGGAGTGGTGAGCGGGTGGCGGGTGGCGGGGAATGGGGCGCGTTCGGTGACGAGTTGGCGCCAATGGCTTGGTTTGGTCACACCCACGCGAGATGACTTCTTGACACCATTGACAGCATGCCTTACATTGACTACCAGGTGGACTCGGCTGATTGCAGACGGGTCAAGGCCACAGAACTTGGCTGATGCCAACCATGCTCCGATATCAAACAGTGCGATCAACCGGCGTTGATCAACCGGCGTTGATCAACCGGCGTTGATCAACCGAGTCATCACACCACGGCTGATCAAAGCAAGACCCATCACAGCACACACCAGCCGAGGGCCCCCCCCCCGCCCCCCTCTCCCCTCTCCCCTCTCCCCTCCGCCGCTTACTGCCACCACACCCCAACACTCCTCCCCACCTCCACCTAGACGTCACCCATACTCCCAGCCCACACGTAGTCAACGCCCCCCTCCCCCCCTCCCCCCCCCCCCTCCGCTCCCCTACCCGCTGCTCTGCTATGGCTGACTCTGTGTACAAGGAGCTGCAGGGCCCGACAGGGGTCGACGTGGCCACCCGGGGCTTCTTCCTGCCGCACACTACCAGTGTCAACCTGGCGACGGCTCGTGGGACAAAGGTGTGTGTCTACTCGCTCGTTCTTCCCGACAACAAGCATGGTGACGAGAGTCCTGCTGGGGGTGGTGGTGGTGGTGCTGCTGCTGCTGCTGGCGCCGCTGCTGCTACTGCTGCTGGTCGTGCTCATGTTCAGGATACCGACGGCTTTGACGCGGTCTCCCATGCCAAGCTCGAGCTTGTTGCCGAACTCTCGCTGCATGGGCGGGTTGTGGCGCTGGAGGCTGTCCGCTTCCCGGGCTCGAGCTACGACTCGCTGCTTATCTCGCTGCCCGAGGCCAAGGTCACTGTCGTCCAGTGGGACGCCTCGCGCCACGAGTTTGTCACCACCTCGATGCACCTGTTCGAGTCGGATGAGCTTCGCTCTTCGCGGGTCCAGTTCTTCCCCAACCCCAAGGCTGTGGTCGATCCGGACAACCGCTGCGCTGCCATGCCCATTTACAACACCAAGCTCGCCATCATGCCGTTCAAGGAACTCGGCGAGGGCGCACCGGCTGGTGGCGCTGGCGCGGCAGGCCGGGCCGCTGCTGGGCCGTCCGAGGCCAAGGCGTCAACCGGCTCGGGCGTGAGCAAGGCGCCTATCCGGTCGTCGTTTGTGGTCGACCTGCTCGAGGTCGACCCGAACATGCGGTACATCATGGACGTCGTCTTTTTGCACGGCTACTACGAGCCGACGGTTCTAGTTCTCTTTGCCTCGGACCTCAACTTTGAAGGCCGCATGTCGGACTCGTTCGACAACTGCCGGCTCGCCGCCATCTCGCTCAACATGCAAACCCGGACGTTTCCGGTCATCTGGCACGCCGAGGGCCTCTCGCACTCGGCTTTCAAGCTTGTCGCCGTCCCGCAGCCCATTGGTGGCGCCGTTGTCCTCACCAACAACGCCATCCTGCACTACCACCAGAACCTCGGGGCCGGACTCGCCGTCAATGGCTACGCCTTTGACAACGACGGCTCTTACCCGTTCCTCCTTGGCGACACTGGCTTTGCCTTTAACCTCCAGCCTTCGGCCGCCGCGGTCCTTGACCCGCAGAACATCATTGTGGTCAACCCGTCCGGCGACATCTTTATGCTTCATATGCGCCCGCGCCCGGCTGAGGGCATTAAGCTGACGCTAACCAAAGTGGGCGGCTGCATCCGCGCCTCCACCATTGTCGCTCTCTCGCCCCATCTCTTCTTCCACGGCTCGCACGTCGGCGATGCCCTGCTCATCGCCTTTCGCGTCCGCGACCTCGCTGCAGAGGCCGAGGCCAAGGCTCTCGCCGCCGCTGCAGCCGCGGCGGCAGAGGCTGCCAACGTCGCCGCCACCATTGCCGAAGCTGAGCCAGCTGCTGAGGCCGAGTCTGCTCAGAACGAAGACAACGGCGTTCAGGACATGGTGACCGAGGATCCGCCGGCTGCCGAGGCTATGGTCGAAGTCACGGCCAACGACGACGAGGGCAAGACTCTTGCCTCCACCGGCGCCGCCGCCGCTGCCGCCGATGACGACAACGACAACGATGATGGTGGTGCTGCTGCGCCGCCGTCCAAGCGGCAAAAGTCGGCAGCCGGCGACGTAGCCGGGGCCGCCGCTGCCGCCGCTGACTTGCTCCCGCCGCTCTCGCCAGGGGCGGCGTTTGCGCCGCGGCCGCCGGTCACGCTCCCGCAACTCGAGGTCGACGACGAGGACGTGGCCATCTTTGGCGAGTCTGCTGAAGATTTTGTGGCCGACACGACGCTGGCCCAGCTGCGGCGGCAGGCCGCGCAAGAGCTCTCGCAGGCCGGCCCGCTACTCGGGCGCAAGGCGCACGACGAGTACGAGTTCCGCATCTGCGACCGCATCACCAACATCGGGCCGATCACCTCTGCGACGCTCTCGCGCGCGTGCGAAACCACCTTTGGCGCTGTCTACGAGGCCGGCATCGGCGAGCTCACCGAGCTTGTGGTGTGCTGTGGGCAGGAGCGCTCTGGTGCGCTGGCGGTCCTCTCCACAGGCATTCGGCCCGACACCATGTCGACGCTCTCGCTCCTGGGCTCGGCCGCATGGGCGGTTGAGGTCCGCGATCCGGCAGCCGAGAAGAACCCCAGGTTCCTGACCCAGACGGTGATGGTGCCGGCGCCCGTGCCGACCACTGTCGAGGGCGGCGACAATGACGTCGCTCCCACAAGCGAGCCGAGCGAGCCGTCGTCGGTGCTCGGCAAGCGTGGGCGCGACGCGTATGAAGAGGGCTCTGCCAAGGAGCCGACCACTGCCGGCGACGAGGAGGCCCAGCCAGCGCCAATGGCGACGGGTGCGGCAGAGGATGACGGCACCGTGGTCGCGGGCGGCATGGTCGAGCACACCGAGCGCATTCCCGTCGACTTTTCGTGGCACAAGTACTTTGTGGTCTCGTCGGCTGATGCGACGATTGTGCTCTCGTCGGCAGGCTTCTCCATCTCCGAGGTCACCACCGAGCTCGACTACTACCTCGAGGGCCCGACCGTGCTGGTGGCGCCGCTGCTCGAGGCGCGGCGGACGATCCAAGTCTATCCGACAGGTCTGCGGCTGCTCAACGATGTGTCCAACACCCAAGAGCTGAGCGTTGCCGAGCTCTCGGCGCTTGCCAAGAAGGGCGTCGGCGGCATGAGCGCACGGCTCGGCGGCGGCACAGTGGTTGCCGCCTTTGTCGCGGACCCCTACGTTGTCCTCCGGCTCTCGTCCGACGACATTGTGGTGCTCCGTGCATCGGCCGAGTCGATGCTGCTCGACGTCCTGGAGCTGCCGCCGGACCTTGCGGTCTCGTCGATTGCCGCGGCCTCGCTCTTTGCCGACAAAGCCGGTGTGACCGCCGTCTCGGACGCGTTTGTCGACGCCGCCCGCGCCGCCCGCAGCCAGCGGCAGGCGGCGGCAGGCGGCGAAGACGCCGCGCCGGAGGCGGGAGCCGTCGCCGGCGACTACGACTCGGACGAGGAGCTGTACGCACCAACTGGCTTTACTCTCGACTCGCTCAACCGCGGCGCCGCTGGCACCGGGCCGTCGGCGGCGTCGTCGCAGCCCGCGGCGGAGCCAGGCGCAACGCCTGCAGCCGAGGCGAGCAGCAGCGCTGGATCGGGAACGGGACCGGGCGCAGGTGGCGACGACGCGTCGGCGCCGTCGGGCGCAACTGCGGGCGCGCAAGAGGCCGATCTCCAGTTTGAGTCGTCCGAGGTGTACCTTGTGGTGGCGCGGCGGAACGGAACGCTCGAGCTGCGTCACCTTCCGGAGCTCACGCTCGCGTTTGCGTTCCCGTACTTTAGCCATGCGCCGGCGCTGGTGACGGACACGCCGCAGGTTGCACTGCCGAACATTGCCTCGTTTGATGCCGAGGCGACGCAGGTGACCGAGCTGGCGCTGGTGACGTGTGGGCCTCGGGCGTACCTGGTGGCGTTCCTTTCGTCGAATGACATTGTGTTCTACGAGGCGTTTCACTACGACGACGGCGACATTTCGTCTGCGTTTGAGGGCGAGGGCGAGGGCGAGAGCGAGGGCGGGCTTGCGGCCGTCCGCAAGCCGCACGTGGCCATCCGTCTCCGCAAGGTGCAGCACCGGTTTGTGCAGGAGGAGGAGAGCCGGGTGGCGGCCGGAGCCGGCGGCATCTCGTACGGGCGAATCATTCCGTTTGACAACGTCGCCGGGCAGTCGGGCATCTTTGTGGCTGGGCTTAACCCGATGCTCTGCACCTTTGAGCGGTCGTACCTGCGGATCCACGCCATGCATGTCGACGGACCAGTGCGGTCATTCACGCCGTACCACTCGGCGAGTGTGGAGCGCGGGTTCTCGTACGTGGCCGAGTCTGGCGCCATCAAGTTTTCAACGCTGCCCAAGGCGGCCGATCTGGAGCACGACATGGTGGTGACCAAGGTGGCGATGCAGCACCCGGGCACGCCGCGGGCAGTCGCTTCGCACCCGACGTCCAACACGGTGGCGGTGGCGCTCTCGCACGAGGAGATCAAGCGGACGCACCCGTCGCCGCAGCGCAACAAGGAGCACGACCCGCCCAACCCGCCGGAAGAGCTCCCGCCGCCGCCGAACGCGGCAATGCCAACGCTGGACGTCTTTGAGCTCGTCCTCTTTGCGCCGGGCGTGTGGGAGGTCATCGACGTGTGGGCCGACCTCAAGCCGTACGAGCACATCTCGGTCCTCAAGCATGTCCAGCTCCGGCACCGCGACTCGGGCCACCGCACGTTTGACGAGACGACTGCCGGCGAGTGGGGCGACTACCTCGTGGCCGGTACCTCGGTCCTGAAGGGCGAGGAGAACAAGGTGTACGGGCGGCTGCTGGTGTTTGAGGTCGTGCCTGTGGTTCCTGAGCCCGGCAAGCCATGGACCAACCGGCGGTTCAAGCTGAGGGCTGACAAGGCGTGCAAGGGCGGAGTGACTCAGGTGACGGTGGCGCGCGGCATCTTGCTGGCCGGCATCGAGCAGACGCTGCTCGGCTACGTGTACAACGCGGCCAAGGAGCTGCTCGAGGAGACGACATTCCACGACGCACCGATGTTGACAACCCAGCTGACGGCACTCAAAGACTACGTCATGATGGGCGACGTCATGAAGTCGATCTTTGTCTTCTTCTTCCGCTCGTCGGATGCGACGGTCCACCTGCTCGCCCGCGACTACGATTCGCTCAATGTGGTCACCGCCGAGTTTATGGTCGACGGCAAGGACATGCATTACGTCGTGGCCGACGACGCCCGCAACCTGCGGTTGTACTCACTGATGGACACGGTCATCGACTCGCGCAAGGGCCGCAAGCTCCTGAGGCGGACCACGTTCCACCTCGGCTCGATGGCAACTACGCTCATCCGCACCGTCTTCCCACAGCCGATGACGTCGAGCGGCGAGACGCACGTCAACATCGTGTGCTCGGCCGACGGCTCGATCGGCATGCTCCTGCCAGTCGACGAAATGATGTACAAGCGCCTCGCCATGCTCCACTCGCACCTGGTCACCTCGATCCCGCACGCCGGCGGCCTGCACCCGGTCGCCTTCCGCCAGCCGCTCGCCAACTTTGACGGCAAGCAAAACTACGGTCGCCCAGTCCTTGATGCCAACCTCCTCACCGCCTACCTCCTCGCCGATGCCAACCAGCAGGCCGACATTGTGCGCAAGTCGGGTACCTCGCATGCTACCGTTTGGTCGAACCTCCGTGACATCTTTGCTCCGATGATCTCGCTTTTGGTGTAAAGTCAACCGCAACCGCAACAGAGGGGGAGGAGGGGAGTGAGAGGGGCGTTCGGTTGGGCGTTCAATGCAGCCGGCGCGCGAGCTCTTCAACCAGCTTCTCGAGCTCAGCCGGATCGTCGCCGGTCTGCTCGCCGACGCGCTTGCGGCTCGCGGGATCGAGCTCGAGGAAGCGCTCGACGAGGTCGCCATCGACAAAGTGCTTTGCCGGCGTTGTTCGCTGGTCGTCGGAAACGAGCGCCAGTCGGCGTGGTCCAGACCGCCGATGCCCGGAATGACCGAGCGGAGGACGTTCTGCAGGCGGAGGAGGGTGACGTAGAGGTCCTCGGGGAGGGCGGCGATGACACCGATGGCGCCCGAGACCGAACCGTAGAGGACGGTGGGCAGGATGCCGAGCGAGGCCGAGGCCTGCTGCATGACGAGCGAGCCGCGGACAAAGGTGTTGACAAACTCGCCAAGATGGATTACGCCGGCGCGGAGAAGCCGATGGTCGTCGTCGGCAGCGGACGCGCCTGCTGTCCGCTGAAGGGCGATGACATTGAACGAGTTGTCGGCGGCGAGGTAGCCGACCTCGTCCGAGCCGTCAGGCCCTTCGAGCACCTCGACGGCGGTGAGCCAGGCGACGGCGTAGTCCTTGGCGAGCTGGACAAACTCGCGAGCCTTGGCGTCAAAGCGGAGCAGCATGAGCGACTTCATGAGGTCGCCGACCACAATGGTGTCGTCGTTGTGGACGCGGAGCGAGAGAGCAAGGATCTGGCCGTGGTAGACGGCCTGCTGGCGGAGAACCGGCGCGCCGCCGCGGCCGGTCACGAGCGAGAAGAGGCGGACCGTGGCGTCGACGGCAACGACGAGGTGGCCGCGGAGGACCGCGATGGCGTAAATGACGCCGGGCACCTCGAGCGCAGCGAGTTCGACCAGCTGGTTGTTGGCGAGCTCGTACACAATGAGGCGCCCGCGCTCGCGCTCGGTGCCGTCGGACCCGGGGCCAGCCTCCGACTCGATGCCGGTGCCGACAACGAGGTAGACCGGGGCGTCGGGGTCGGCAGCAGGCGAGGCAGCCGGCGGCTTGCTCGTCGACGCGGTCTCCATGGGCACAACGCCGTCGGTGGCAAAGGCATCGGCGAGGGCTTGCGGAGTCGGCGCCGGGAGGATGGTGAGCGGGGCGGCGACGACGGCGAGGCCCTGCTCGTGCGGCGCGAGCTGCGCCGAGGAGACCTCCTCAAAGGTGACCGGGTCGAGGACGCGGAGGTACGAGACCTTGACGGGCGCGCCGGTGGCGTTGTCGGCACTAACGGCGACGGTGAGGACGGCGTAGTTGGACGACGGAGTGTGGTGGACGACGGCGCGCGGCATCTCACCAAGCGGGACCGAGGTCTTGTGCAGTTTCTGGATCTCGTCGATGCATCCGATGATGAGCTCCGACTCGGTGACAAGGACGAGTGCGTCCGGGATGGGCGTGGTGTTGAAGCCGGTCATGCACACCACGTCGGGCGTGTTGACGTTGGAGAAGAGGAGCTTGGAGCCGGACGAGTAGATGACGCACGGCCGGTCTGAGGCGGCGAAAACGACTGGCGCCGCCGCTGCCGGCTCGCCCATAACCTCGGCCTCGGGCGGAGCGTGAAGGAACTTGAACAGGGTCACCGGCTGGGTCCCGAGCATGAGCTCCTTGCGGTCGGTGACTGCGCCGTCGTCGCCGAGCACAAACGAGACCAACGAGCCGTCGCCCATGCCGACCAGCAGATAGTTGACCGACTCAAGCGTGGCAAAGAGCGCCGAGCGCGGAATGACCTGCGCGTCGCCAAGCGAGAGCGGCGCGACAAGCTCGAGCGAGGGGAGCGCAAGGAGGTGGACCGAGTAGTCAGACCACCGGCCGACAGCGGCCAGCGCGGCGTCGCCCGAGTCGCCGAGCGGATCGATGTTGAGGCAGGCGACTTCCGAGTCGGGTGCGACCGTGGCAGCCACCGCGAGCGGCGACGCTCCGCGCGGATCGAGCGCAAGCAGGACAAGGGTGCCATGGTCGGTGTCGGTGCCCGAGACCGCCAGCAGAGCGTAGTTGGCGTTGGCGGCGGCGACCGAGATCGACGACCCGCCCATAGCCTCCGGGCTCCACTCACCGAGCAGCGCGAGCGAGGTCGCGTCGACAAGGCGCACGCCGCCAGGCACGATCTGGAGGTAGGTGTCGTCGCGGACGCCGCAGGCAACCAGGGTCGGCGCGTCGGCGACAAGGCCACCGAGGTCACCGGCGTACTCGCCGAGCTCCGAGTCGCCGTCAAAGGCGAGAACCTTGGTCATGTTGACAAACGAAACAACAAGAAAGGCGGCAAGGTTCGGCTCGCCGACGGCCGGCAGGGTGAACGAGCCACGGACGCCCTCGACCGGGAGGACAGCCTGCTCGGCAATGCCGATGCCCGAGCGGACAATGCGGAGCGAGCCGTCCTGGAAGCCGCCAGAGCAAGTGACGAGCACGCCCTGGCCCTGGCGGTCGACGTCAACAAGCGTCATGTCCAAAATCGGGCCGAGGTTGATGTGGGCGTCAGCAACCTGGACGTACGAGCCAGACTCGTCGACCGGCTCGGACGAGAGGTGGACAAGCTGCGAGTCGCCGAATCGCGAGCCGACAAAGACAAAGCCAGAGTCAAGGTAAACAATCGCCGACGGGATCGACGTCTTGCCCACCAGCGAGAGTTCGAGCCCGGTGACAGCTCCGTTTGCAATGTCGATCAGGAGAACGTGCATGTTTCCGAGGTGGTCGCCGACCAGGATGCGGGCACCAGAGGCGTCGATAGCTCCAAAGGCGGTAAAGGCGCACGGGACGGTGTGCGGGATCTGGACAAAGGTGGCGCCAGACTTGTAGGCAACAGTCGACTCGCCGAGGATGACAAAGCCACCGCCGGCTTCCGCAGGCAGCGGAATCAGCCGCGAGGCAAAGGCGTCGAGCCCGGCCTGCTGGTACGGGCCGGGCCGGAGCTCCTTCTTGGCGCCTACCGACGCGTGGACCTGGTACGTCTTGAGGTGCCGTGCTTCGTGCGCGTCTTTGTACAGAACAGCAAGGACCGGTGGGCCGTCGCCGGTGGAGAGTGCCGCATCAAAGGCAATGTCAAGGACGCACACCTCTTCCAGCCGCAGGTTGAAGGCCTGGGAGAGGCTCTGCCCGCCGTTGGCCATGGGCACAATCTTGAGCAGGCCATCGTAGCAGTGGAGCGCAATGAGCGAGAGGCTCGGCTCAATGGCACAGAGCTGGCCAGCGTCCGACGGATGGCCGACCTTGTCCTCGAGGTTGCCACCAGCCACAGTCACCACCTCGCCGCGGACATCGTCGTAGCTGAGGAGGCAGAAGCGGCAGCGATCAGTAAAGAGGAAAAGCAGATCCTTCTCTGCGCCCATTGGTCGGAACGTCCGCATGCACACCACCTTGCCGTAGAGCGGAAGCTCCAGCAACGGCACAAGGCCAGCCGGAGCAAGGGTGTAGACCTCGACGAGCGTGGTCTTGCACACAATCAGGTTGCGCTCACTCGCCGAGGAGAACGAAGCCACAAGTGCATCCGTCACTGCTGTCGGCTTTTGCGCCGTCACCACGTAGTTGTACTGAGTATAGGAGGGGGGAAGGGGGGGGAGGGGGGAGGAGGGGGGGTGAGTTGGGGAAGTTCAGGAAAAGGTCGTCAACATGGTGGGTGGGAAGCGACTGGAGGAGCCATAGAATCAATCGCTCTGCTATGCGTACCATGACACAGGGCCAGGTGCAGGTGAAGGAGAGAGTGAGAGAGGGGGGAGTGGAGGGGGGGAGTGGAGGGGTGGTGGAGGATTGGGTGGATGGATGTGGGTGGGGTGGAGTGGTGGTGGGCTGGGCGAGGGGGGGGG